AACATGCAAAAGGCTCATCACTTGTCCGACGGTTCGTCGTTACACCAACGGGGTGACCGACGAATCCATTGCTCATCTCCACAACAAGCTCAAACATGGGCCGTATGACACCGACGTAGCCCGTTTTCGCTCCAAGGGGGACGATTCCATGCGTCTATCCGCTGCAAAGAAGACAGACTGTGAACAAGTACTCGAAGAAGCTGTAAAGAACAACTGTGAAGTAAAGTTCGAACAAGCTCTCAAGCTTGAAGAAGAGGGTAAACAACTTTTACCGTGAAGCCGAGAAGACTGAAACCATCATCGAAGAGGGACGACACTTTGCTAATTATGGAAGTAATTAGGAGACTTGATTAAAGTTTAGATTTATGTATTCTAGACTTTCTATGTGTCATCTCTTTTAATTATGTCTTTTGCTTTCGGTTAATTAGTGGTACTTTATTATTATCTTAGCTTCTTGATTTGGAACTAAGTGTATTTCCGTTTTAATTATTATCATCTTTCATGAATGTATGTTATGTTATTTTCAATTAATTAAGATATTATTCAAACAAGTACCATGGTCAGTTAATGCTAGTATGAAGAAATTTAATAAAAAGCCATCTACCATGCATACGTCAAAGATTCATAACTTTTTGAAGACCGTTCTTTTGCTTTCAATTAATTAGTGGTACTTTATTATTAGCTAGCTAATTATTTAGAACTAGTTAGTGTAGTTCTGTTTTAATTAGTGTATGTTCTTTTTAATTAATTAAGATATTATTCAAACAAGTACCATGGTCGGTCAATGCTAGTATGATGAAATTTAATAAAAAGCCATCTGCCATGCATAGTCTATATCCCACGTCAAAGATTCATAACTTTTTGAAGATTGTGTCCTAATTTTTGTTTTTGAAATCATACTCTCCATATTGTTGTAATCAGTGCCAACTGATCTTACTTTAAAAAAAAAATCAATAACATGTGAATCTATAGTTAAATTCAATAATAAAAAAGAATTAAGTTCGTATATAAATAGAGTTTTGGGTTATTTATAAGGTCATATGTGAATCTATCTCTGTCTATAGAAAAAACTTAAATCTAAAGTTTCTTTGTGCAACACGAACTATAGATAAGCTATAATTATCATTAGTTAGTTTGCTTTAAGGTAAAAGATTAAATACTATTTTAGCTCAAACAGCACAAGAGTATCCATCGTTATAGCTTACGATAGTGTTGGTAAGACTACATGAGTTAAATCAAATAGATTATCGAATTTTATTATTTTTAGATTACGTAACGTATTTCACGTATGTATAACTAAAAATCAAATATATTAGCTTATACCTTTTGATGGTGTCCAAATGACAGCCTTTGCGCGATGCTGTGTTTTGCTCAATCTTATTCGATAATCGATTAAACAATCTGTTATGTTCTTTCTTCAAATTGTAAAGACACTACAAAAAAACACTTCAATCTTGACTATCAATTTGATTTAAAATTGGTCAAAAATAACTATTTTTAACTAATCCTTGACCAAAATCGATTCGTCAAAAATCGATGGTTACAAATGCATTTTGGTCAGAAAATAGTCAAAATGTTTTCACTAATAAAAATTGTCAAAATTTTGGTTCTGATATGGTCAAAAATTTTATTCTGACCAATAAAATCGTCGCATTTTATTTATCAATCAAAATGGTTGAAACTATATATTTTGACCAATTTTAGACCATATATTCCAACCAATTTTTGACCAACTTAGATATTTAAGTTTTAAAAAAAAAATATATTAGAAAATATTGAAATTCAAATTTAAAATATTTGATTCATAATAATTAAAATAAAATTAAATATTTTAAAACAATTAAAATATAAAATAAAACACAAATAAATATCTATGTTCAACTATTTTGGCCATTGTAAACCCATTTACGTTTTTCACAATGAAATAAGTGTTATTTATAGAGAAAGTGAAAGTTTTATCCCTCTCATATTGTCGATGTGGGACAAATATGATAGAGGTGTTCTCCTCAATATCTGGTCGATTCGTCAAAAATTACTCACGAAGTTTCGACCAAATTTGGTTTGAGTCGATAAATGGTAAATATATTTTGACTATTTACTGACTACTTATATTAGTCAAAAAAATTTGATCATATTTCGACGAGTTTAAATTTTCATAATTTTTTGGTTGAAAATTTGTTAATAAACATTTTGACCATTTTACTGGTAAAAAATTAACGTGTTTTTTTACCAATTTTCAACCATTCTTTTTTTTTCGCAATTTTCGACCATTTTTTGACAAATTTAAGAATCCGTTAAAAATTGGTCGAAAATTTTTGACCAGTTTTCGATTTTTATATTTCATTTTGACCAATCTATAATAAAAATGAATATTCGTCTAAAATTGGTCATAAATGGTCAAAATAATTATTGACCATAAAAAATGGTTAAAATTTAATATGTTTTTTTGTAGTGAAAAATATGTTATTACAATATCTATTAATACAAGGGAAAATTTGCCAAAATACAACAAAAAAATTATAATTTAAAAACTAACAAAAAACCATAAATCCAATGGTCTAAAAATTGCAACATACCCATTTTTTCTAACTTTTTAATTTTTTTTTTGGTTATTCACCAAAAAAACCCAAGAAATATGTTTTTGAAAAAAAAAAAAAATCTATTAAGATAAACATTGGATTTATATAAGAAAATAACGCAAAACATATATATTTAAGATCGGTGTAGAGATTTTATTCATAAACAAAAACATTCATAAAAGGTAAAACGAACATTGTAGTACTACCAAGTATATTCACCTATCGAATAATATAGTAGATAT